TATCTCTCTCCCAATCTCTACCTGTCAGGACTTGAAGAAAGTTTAAGAAGCTGTCTAGAAGAGTCCAGTCCGTCCGTGGCCCTGGTTCCAGTCCTGGACTTGCCTGACTCCCAGATCCTCCACCTGTCCTGCTGGCTCAGTTTATAGAAACACAGCCAGAGTCAACAACCAGACTCCAGTCATCCACAGCACTGGAATTCAGTGGGGCTTTTCTGGAGGAGCGACTGACAGCCCAACACCTAATGACTTACAACAGGACATCAGTCAATGTGGAGAAGAAAAAAATGCATAACTGCTCATTAATGTTAAATGTTTATTGCGGCTGATTGTTGAAATGCAAAGCTGCGTCTGTCTCCAAGTGGTTTTGATGGTGTGTGGTTTTGAGGATGTGTTTATTTCACTTCACACCCCAGAACTCAGGCCAGTAATCCACTGTGTCCTCCACTGGAGTTGTAGACTGCAGCAGCTGTTACTCTGCCTCGGAGAGAAGTCCTATGGAACTTCTACAACCTAAGTCTGCATACCAGAACACTAGAGACCATAGTCTACAAAAGGAGACAGTAGCAGTGTATCATTCCATGAGGCAATAAATTATATCCCCTGAATCCTACTGTTTCTGGTGGAATTTCTCTTAGCACGCTAGCTAACACCCCTCATAAAGGCCTAGCGCCACCGTTGACACCATCTGTTCAGTTGTAAACCTATAGATTTACTGTGTGACTGCTTTGTGGCTGTGTGTAATGTGTGGATGAGGTGACTGTGTTTTTCCCTCTCATGGTCCATGGGATTCAAGGTGTGTTATTATTGTGTAATAGGCAATCAGCACCGAGTACCTGAAAAGATTAAGCCTCTTTATGTTTTCTATTGATTCTAAGGCAGCCTGGTTAATAGGAGCGGGACGCTACCACACACAGCTGCAGGGCAGTGTGTGCGTGTGTGCGTGTGCGTGTGCGTGTGTGTGTGTGTGTGTGTGCGTGTGTGTGTGTGTGTGTGTGTGTTGTGTCGTGCGTGCGTCGCGTCGCGTGCGTGCGTGCATTGCGCGTGTGTGTTGGGGGGGGGGGTGTCAGTTGACGATGTGGGAAGAAAATAACACCATTAACCATTGCTCCTGGAACATTTCTTTTCTCAAAGATCATGAACCGTATTGATGATCTGAGTTGGAATGCATCTTCACTCCGGCTATTCCCTTCATCGCGCTTGTGATGGCAGGAGGGTGGAGTGGGTTATTGATCTTCACCCACCTCAATGTTGTTTTGATTGTTGTTATCAAAAATTGAACAATAGAGGCAGCCAATGGAGCCTGAAGATTTTCATTGAGGGTTGGAAAACACAAACAAGCAATTATTTATGAGAGCGAGCAAGCCAATGCCCCATAAATATACAGTGTGTGTTAATGTTTACCTGTTTGGTTTTAATGGGCCCCACCAGTGGGAGATTCTGAATTTCTGAATGATGCAGCTGTCAAATCAGCACTAAGATATAGGTATTTTTCTAAACAAAGTACTTTTTATCATGTATTTCTACAGATAAATTAAGTAAACACCAATAAATTTCATTCACAAATATTTGTTTATATTTCAGTGTTTGACAGTCACAGATTTGGCAATGACATACACATATCCAAAGAATAGATTCCATGAAAAATGTTTTCTTTGTCAATTTTCTTGGTTTCCTAAATATCAGAATGTGTGTAACAGATGCAAAGTAAATGCAAAGTAAGGTAGTTGTCAAACCAGACTGTGCTGAGCAAATGTGCATGTTCAGCAGTATTCCCATATAAACACTGGTTTACAGAGAAGATTGAGAAATGGTTTTGACTAAGAAACAACGCACAACATATATCAGCTGTTTCAGTTATATGTGAGTGCTAAATTTAATTTTACTATTAAAATTCTCTTTATTGAGTTTTGATTTCGTGTGCTTTTTTCCATTGTGGAACATCAGTTAAATTACAAGAAAATACAAGACGCCGCATTTCAGGAACACAGAGGAGCTCTGCCGCTAAAATTCATTGCACAACAACCACTTGTCGATCACACTGTAAACATTACGTGCTGTCTTTCAGCTGGCATGTTTTCATACAAACACAGGCAAAGCCACGAGTACATCATCACACCCTCATCAGAGCCAATGTGATGGCCTATGGCAGACACATTTCTTTGTGTCCTTTACTCTGTTTTTCTTCACAAAATGAGAAAAGACAGGGTGACATTTGGTTTTCTCATGTGTTTTGTCAAATGTACATTTTTTACAAAGCTGACCTGCAACCACTCTCCAAACAAACTAGCTGTTGTGGCTAACATTGTCCTTTGTGTGCAGTGTACCAGCCTGCGGCCCTTGTCATTGTGGCCTCGCACATGGACTTTAACTCCGTGTTTCTTCCTCAGGGCTAACCAGGCTGATGTGTGTGACTCTCTTTCCCCATAGCAGTGGGCTACAGTAGGGGAGCTTAGCTCAGGAGCAACCTCGCTGCACAAGACGCCTTCTGACACTGTGTTCTGTTTGCCCCAGTGACTGTGGTTTTGTTTGTTTTTAGGTTTGAATCACTTGCTTCATAATGTTTTGTTTTATTCTCCTGGCGTATTGTGAAAGCATGTCTTTGTGGTCATAGCACTGACTTCATGAAACTTGCTTTATCTGCTGAACTGGCAAGCCATCACATGCTATTCAGTGGTGTCTGCTGCCCTCTTGTGGCCAACATAAACAGTGCCACTTGAACGCATCAGAGCTTTCAGTTCAACTTGTACAGTATTTTTAGTCATATCGTGAGTGCAATCATTTATGAATTAATCCAAGCACCATTAGAACTAGAATTTAAGAGATGGCTTAATTTATCTGTTGTGACGAAGGAAGTCAAGTTCCTTAAGTGAAATTTGGAGAAAATGCTTTGTAAACAAGATTTGATTTCACTACACACCTTTCTCCATTTTCTGTGTTATATGTGTAGGAAGAAAAGCACAATGTAAATAAAGATGTAAATAATATCATTAACAATAACCAAGCAGGTGTGTCAGTGTACCAGGGCCCTGCAGTATAACACCTACATGGAATGCTGCTTTTAAATATGTTCCATTTGTTTGACAGTGGGGCTGCTAGTGTTGCTGCTTTTGTGGGACCAACAGTCCAAAACCCAAATATATTCAATTTATAGCTACATGGAACAAAAAAAGCAACAAATCCTCACTTTCAAGAAGCTGAAATCAGCAAATGTTTAACAACTTAATCAGCAGCATTGAAAGTGATTCATTTTTTGTCAGTTGACTTATCAATTTCACTTCTACTTGACTAGAAATTGATCACAGTATGAAATACCTTTTGGCTCTCCTGGACTCTGCAGTATCTTTGAAAGAGCCAAAGGTACATAGAAAAACCCTCCCACACCATTTCTTTTTTTAGTCTTGTCATCCACTAGCTACAAGAATATCAAATATCCTAAAAATAACTTGAAACACTGAGGCTAAACCCATAGAAAAAGAACACTGCCTGGGTTTCGTTAGACTAAACTATGGTCACAAACCAAACACCAGACCAAAAACCTACTTCTAGACTCAACACAAAATAGAATCATATTGCCATATTGTAACCCCTGACGAGTAACACAGAATTTGTGAAAAACATGATATTCCTTTATTTGTCAAACTTGCCAAAACACAGAGGCAGTGTATCATAGGTATAGAATATGTACCTTGGGAAAGCCAAACAACACAAACATCTCTCAAAATAGAAGAGCAAACCCATTGACTTTGGACTCAAAAGTGCTCTGTATCAATTTACAGAATAAGAAACAGAGGTTCGAGAACCAAAACATATCAGTAGGAACAGATGATTTAAATGAATAGTGAACAAGGCCATACATGTCAAACTAGAGAAACCCTCAGTTTACAGGCGAAGGGGATTGCAAATCAGCCTCAGTCTGTTACAACACTGGTATAACATCACTACCTTTCTCCAGCACGCCCAATATCCCAGCCCATGTGGATATTACTTTCAGAAGGCATACCAGTTTTGGACCTCTGAACATGTAAACTGTATATGTTGCACGTATTTACATTTTACATTATACCACACCATATTTTATGTAGACCATACAATGCTCTGATGATGTACAGTATATTTTGTGACATGAATGTGATAAAGGACTATATACATCTTTCCCCAGTTTAGAAAATGGAATGTGATTGCAATATCAACCTAAACACTAAAATCTAATGTGATTTAATTTGCTATGTAATGAATACTACTTTATGACTGTGACTGTGTGAAAGGCCCAACTAATTTGATGTTTAAGGCTGTAGTTGGTCAAGTTGCAAAGAAGTACCTCATTATAGGCATTTTGAACATTTGGAGTCCAAAGTCATGCATTCGGTATTTCATCTGTTTCAATCGGCATATTCGGCATAATTACATTGTTTTCTTTTTAACTGTCTGTTGTTTTTATTATTTTTATTGTGTTTTTAATCTTCTGTAAAGTGTCCTTGAGTGCTGTGAAAGGCGCTGCCAAATAAAAGGTATTATTATTATTATATTATTATTACAGTAGGTAATACCAGGTGTTTAAAGTGTTCTGGCCACAGGCAAATTTTCACAGAGGTATGAGTAGGTCATACAATAAAGTTGACAATTTCTGGAGAGCAAGGTTTGATATAGGCTATAAACCATGTAGGCTAGTTCCTGAGTATTTCCTGAGTTTATTTTTGATACTTTTTTGATTCTGGAAATAGCTGTTTTCTGTTCAACGTGTTTTGGTTGCAAGTGTCTTTATAATATTATGCTTTGGGTAGATTTAGTGTTACAATGGCATAATTCGTCGATCTCTTCAATCTGAAAAATAGACACCACTAAAACAACATCAACAGCATGATGTGTATATAGGATCTTTGATGTCTCCTCACATTCGCAGGATCTGTCATGGATAGGAACTAAAGATCTTTGTTTCCCGCCGTACATTTTGAGGGACGCACATTGTTTGCTGCCGTCTTGACGTCAGCGATTGTGACATCGTTAGCAAAACAGCTAAATACGAAACACACATTGTCAACTGATAATGGATACATTCGTTGTTAAAGGCCTCTAAACGTATATAGTAAGTGTTCTTGACCTATACATGAGCAAAGCAAGGGTTGTTAGCTAGTTTCGACGTTTGCTGCAAATTTTTTGTTTTGTTGTCAACGCCTTTGTGTTATTAGCCTATAATGTCAGTTATACGTATGAGAATTATTGTACAGTTTCATTACAGTAATATATTGTTGACATTTTTGATATGCAATTTTGGTTACACAAAACATACATTATTTATTTAAAGTGAGGTTAGTCGTATTATTGCAGTAATGTTTTATATTGTAAATTGTCAGTTGCACTACTGAGAGTTAATCCTTCCTTGCTTTGAATTTTTATGCCTTATGCTTTGCCCTAGGCCTAGTAAGAAGACCACCCATTGGGAGAAGAAATCACTAACGAGGTGACTTGAAAATGCATCAGTGCCCTGTTTGTCCAAAATCTTTCCCTTCACCGTATAAACTTCAGAGACATCATGTCATCCATACTGGCCAGAAGCCCTTCTTCTGTGAAATCTGTGGAAAAGCCTTCACGCAGTCAGGGCATTTAAAAATACACTTGGTTAAAGTCCATCATTCACGGCTTCCAACAGGCAGTCTACGGGATGGCATTTTAACAAATAACCAACAGCTAAAACGTGATAAACCAGCTGTGGGAATGAGCACACATGGCAGCAGTAATTACACTATGATGTTATCAGTGGCCTCTCAGCCAGAATGGAAAAGCGGATCTGTAACTCACAACGTTTTTCTTCCTTTGTCGGAGACTGGAAATCCCCCCCAAAAGAAGCCACATGTAAATAATAGCTCAGTGACCCAGAGCAGTATCTCATCTGATATGGATCCAACACATCAGTATCAGGTTCAGGTTTTTTCTGCAAATGTGGACACATCTGTATGCAAAACCTACAATGGACACACCTGCAAAGTCTGCTTGAAGTCATTTAGTTCATCTCTTCAGCTTTGGATTCATTTACCAACTCATAACAAACCAAAACCATTTCAGCGAGGCCCGACTTTTTCTAAGAAGGCCTGTTTGAAGGTGTGCATGCAGTCACAAGAATTGAACTCCAGTACAAGCAAAATGACTCTGAAACACCAGTGTCCTAAATGTCTTAAAACCTTTTGTTCACCATCCAAATTACAAAGACATTTTCTTATTCATACAGGCCAGAAACCATACTCATGTACAATCTGCTGGAAAGCCTTTAGACAAAAGGCACACTTGAAATCCCACTTAAACACAGCAAATAAATGTTCACTTTCTGCAGTCAGTGCAAGGAAAAGACAGAGGCTTTGTAATGACAGTCAAACCTCAGTTCTACAGCTTAGGTCATCACTTCAACAACCCAGCAGTCATCACATTCCTGTGAATTCATCAGTGGAACTGAAGCTACAATGTAAAATAAGTGTAAATACTGTGCAGGACCTGAACAAGGCTGGAATCAAGTTGGATACAATCGTAAAACCAGAACAACCACTAAATACAAGCAGTCAGTGTCAAGGTACTTGTTATATTACAGGTGAAGAGCCGCAATACTTGACACAAAAAGATATGAAACCATTCCAGTGTATGATCTGCAAAAGATCCTTTCGGTTGGAAGTTAATTTAATACGTCATCATAAAATTCATATGAACCAAAAAGAATTGGGAAATCCTACTTCTGTGCAAAACAGTAGAAATGTGAAAATGTCAGATTCGGAAGCAATAAAATGTTTAGCTAAACCTAGTCTTGCACACCCCATTGACTTGGACATCGTTGTTAAACCAGAAACATGGAGCGAAAATTGCAATGACTCTTCACCTCAGGAGGCTGCATTAATTGCATCAGCAGAACAGCAGAGGGAAACCTACCATGCTACCAGTAAGCAGCAGAGAATTAACACTTTACATCAGTGCCATACATGTTCAAAATGTTTTCCATCTGCATCAAAACTTCAGAGGCACATGATGACTCATACTGGACAAAGGCCCTTTGGATGTGAGATATGTGGGAAGAGATTTCGGCAGAAAACTCACTTGAGGGTCCATTGTCGCACTCACCTGTGGTCCAGATATCAGAAACAGCGATCACTGTATATCAATCGGCCACCTTCACGCATAAGTGGGCTTAACACGAGGACTGCGGCAGATGTCCCAATCCAGGAGATGTTGGTACATAAAAAGGATGATGAGACACAGACTGGCAGAGATATCATCTCTGTTAAACACCTGGTTGAGACCCCTTCTATAGTGACTGTTCAGAATAACGACAAGAGAGAATCAGAGAACAAATTGTTGCCACATACCTCAAAGACAAATGAGGTTTCTAAAGTGAATGTGAAAAGGACACAGACTGCTAAATCAATGCAAAATCCAGGCAATGTACAACACAAGTGCTTTCAGTGTTTAAAGTGTTTTGCTAGTGTCTCTAAATTACAAAGGCATGAGATGGTACACACAGGCTTGAAACCATTTCAGTGTCCTACGTGTGGAAAAGCTTTTAGGCAAGCCTCACATCTGAAAACCCATGAAAGGATACACTGTAAGAGGAAACCATCCAAATCAGTCAATCAACAGGTGAACAACAGAAAACTGAAAATGAATAGTCAACACCAGCTTTACCCAAGGATCACTGTTCGTATCCCATCACAGAAAAAGTCTGCGAACACAGACACTACACATTCAGTTTTTGATAGTGCTGTAAGTAAAGGAGAAGGTGCGCTGCTCTGTTCCAGGTATGAAATACCTGTCACAAAAGTGAACAGTGCCTTTAAGACAAACACCAAATGTCATACTTGTAAGACAAAGAAACTTCACATATGCCGAATATGCTGTAAGAACTTTGCTTCTCCATATAAGCTCTCAAGGCACTTGGTCACTCACTTTGGAATAAGGCCATATAAATGTACTTTGTGCAGCAAAACCTTCACACAGCATGGTCATCTAAAAGTTCATGAGCAGAGATGCAGGCAAGTTAACAAGATCTCAGATTATGACCACAGAGAAATGATAAATACCAACCATCCCCAAGATGAATGCATTGAAAACCTGACTGAATGTACAGATTTCAATGTGGATGCAATAAGAGAGCAGACAGAGCCAGAGTATACCAGTGTTGCTCATAACTCTTTTCCTGATGGAGATTTATCTTATTGCACAGAGGCAATAGACACTGAGTGGCTGGCAGTACCAGAAGTAGGTTTACAAGAGGAGAGTAACGAATTACAGAAAAAACAGAGAGAAAATTACAGTCAAGCTACAGAAAGTTATGATCAGGCTACAGACCATTATAGTTATTCATTTCCCTCTGAGCTTGCTTTTGAAATAAATAAGCTTGTCCAAAATCAAAACATGGCAGCTCCACTTTTGTCACATCAGTATGAAGTGAATGCACCTAATGTAGAAATACCATGTCAACATAAAGGGGTTACAGCTATTTCAGATAGCAACAAGCTCGTCAGTGATGAACTTGTGAGTTCTGTGGATGAGAATCAAACCCATGCAGATTTTCCAGATGAGTACTGGTGTGAACCACTAACTGTGTTTGAATGTGACAAGTGCACTGAAAATTTTAAGAGCAGAGACGATCTTAAGGAACATCTTTGTTCAACTAATGTTCAGCCTAAGATGACAGAGTCAGCCCAGAAGAATTGTGACATTTGTTTAAAAAATTTTGTCACTCCCTCTAAACTTAAGAGGCATTATCTTATCCACACAGGTCAGAGGCCATTTAAGTGTGACATTTGTGGCAAAACTTTCACACAGTCAGCACATGTCAGAACACATAGACTGATTCATTGATAATCATATGAGATGTTTGTTTTTTTTGTGTAAAATGGTATTTATTATGATCACAATTTGTCAATATATTTGTTTGTATGTATGTATGTCAAGTGTGTAATAGGTATATTTTAAAGCTTGTTTTATTTGATATTTTGCAGTGAATCTTGTTCATTCTGGTTGTACAGTAAAACAATCCTCAAAAATAAATACTTGAAAATAATAGTCTGAGGTGCTTGACTTAACTCTTAATAAAAGAAAACTTAATATTTAGTTATATTCTCCACTATTTACATAACAAATTAGACTACTGTTCTATATTTTCGATTTTTTTTCTTGTACCTTTTTTATTATTATTATTCAGTATGCGTTTTCCCCATAGTGAAGAGTTGTCATTGTTTTGAAAAATATTAAACGGGAACGGAACGGCATAGATGTACCCTGTACCCGGGGACGATTTTAGAGACGTACCCATTTAGGAAGTTGGTCGCATACAGCGCGTTTTGGTTGTGTACATGCGTAACGAACCTTCTCACGGCGCTTCACTTATGCTGAAAAACAAATAAAGGTTAGTGAGCTTATATATTCATATATTTGTGTACGCCACGGGGCTGTGTGTACCGATATTACCAAGAACTATTTGAGTAAATTGTATATTTGTATCACTAGCTAATTAGCTTAGCTCATCACCTGATAGTGTGAAAAAGCTACCGTCTACTAATTTTAGTATTGTACATCACTATTTTAATATTATGTTGTAGGTGCAAAAAGCAGCGATTCGCAATTATCATACTAATTAAAACCCTGCATATTTCACTTTTCTTTACTACATAACTTAACCTATGGAACTTTGAAACCTAGCTAGCTAACTTTCTCAGCACTATACTTTCGTATAGCTTCGTTGCCCCACATTTTTAAAGCCAAAAATTCTGTACAAATAGCCATATTCATAGCTTGTTTGTTTCGGTGGTTGGCTATAGCATCGTTCAAACAATGAATTGATTTTTTTGCTACTCTTTTTCTCACAGTCGCCAGTGTAGCTGCTTGCGGAGGCAACCATGGAGAAAGAAACGCCCGCTAAAAAGGCTGCAGCTCCATCTGTGTCTCAGATTAATGCTGAATATGTCACACAGGTAATTTACATTGTCCATGTGCGGTAAACTACATATGTGGTCGAGCTTTGTGCTTTGAAAGATGTTTTCCATGCTGTTTTTATGCTGAAGTGAACCCTAATTGTACTTGGGTAGAAGATACTCCATGTCCTTTTAGGTTAAAAAGTCCTTACTGTATGTGTGGGGTGGGAAGCTGAGGTCAAATGGGAGGACTGTACCTGTGATAGAGGACTTGAGGATTTGCGCTGTGGATCACATAATGTTCAGTCTAGAAAAGACTCTAAATTAGATTTTTTTGTCTTTCTTTAGATAGTTATATGATTTGTATTAAACCAAGAAGTATGTATCATGTTAAGATTTTAGGATTACACCACATTGTAATGCATTATTTGTAACAACTACTGTATTGCTCAATTAACTTTTGTATGTTGGCGCTGCCATGCTTACAAAGATTTAATATTTTTCTTATTCCTTGTTTCCAGTTGGCTAATAAATATTGGGCTCCTCATGCAAAGAATAAACTACCATTTGACCCTAAGGTGAGCTATATGCATTGATGTATCTAAGATGTGTAAATATGTTTGATTTTTGTGGTTGAACTACTTTTACAAGTGTGGGGCAGTGTTATACTGTGTTAATAATAGTGTTAGGTACATGTGTCTTGGTTCTAACCAAAATGTCTTTTAATAATTTGGTTTCATACAGTGAACTGGTAAAGATGTGTAAAGTTCTGCTTTTACCAGTCAGTGAACTCAATCTGAACAGACAAACACATGTTATGTTTTTAGGATTGTGGTGGGGGTCTTCTGTGTTTCCCTAAACCCTAAAAATAGTAACATTCTTTGCTGTTTGTTTAGGTGATGGAAGATGTCTATGAAAAAGAGATTCTAAAGTCCAAGTAAGTGAATATATAGCATCTTGAACTTGAACTGCCTTCTTTCTCCAATATACATTTCATATTTTACTCTGTGTTGTCTTTTCTGTATATTTTCAGATTTGCCATCAGAAAAATTATGCTGCTTGAGTTCAGGTGAGATATTTCACTTCCTCTTATACCCACTATTTAAGTAGCCATCAAATGAAAAGATTCTCAAATTATTTTTCTCATCTTTCAGCCAGTACCTCGAAAACTATCTATGGGTAAACTACACTCCTGAGGTGTCCAGCAACGCCTACCTCATGTCCATCTGTTGTATCGTCAACGAGAAGTTCAGAGAGAATGTCCCAGCTTGGGAGGTAAAAAGAATCCAGTACTTATCTAAGTTTAGACTAATTGTCATTGCATGGTGACCCAAGCTCTGCGGAGACCATATTTGTTACTTGAACACTATATTCACTAGTTACACAGCTGCCATTCAAACTGATGGCTTTCTACAACAATTTACAACAATCCTTTCTGTTGTATGGTGTATATCAGGTGTTCAAGAAGGAGCCCAGCCACTTCCCTTTCTTCTTCAAATGCGTGATGGAAGCTGTGTTGACAGGCGAGGAGGCTGGCCTCACTCTGAAGGAACAAACCGTGCTGCTGGTCTTCTTGGACCACTGCTTCAACAGTCTGGTTAGAACCACTACACTGATATCCAATGTCTTGACTTACCCACTGGAGAAATGAGTACTTTTGGTAATGTCTGGGGGTGTTATTCTTCTGCACGCAGGATAAATGAGAATGTTTTGAGTCATCATTCTATATTCTGATTACAATATTTACATGGTTTGAAGTAGCATGTTTTCTCTAATAAACCAGGTTACACAGATTCATTAAAAGATTCTACATCTCTTATCACAGCACCATGAATGCAAAGAGCAGCTGCTGTAATATGAACCCCTCAACTGAATAATTTTTATTATATCATATAAATGTTGTTGTTACTCTAAATATGACTTTAAGTTATTGGAATGACAATTTAAATAAACAGGGTTTTGCTTATTAATGGTAGCAACACCAAAGGCCTTGTTGGTAAAGATACTGTGTATGTGGAAATTAAGGTAATTGCTTGTAATGTCCACTAGGTGGCAGTAGTGGACTAGGCAGTACAACTTGGGTCAACACACACCCATCTGTATCTTCTACAGCCGCATTAAACCACTGGGAAGCACTGCAGATGTCTCACTTTAAAATCTGCTGTGATAACCTGCTGCACTTTGAGTGTATCTTATAAAGGCCTCTAAATATTTTAGTTGCAGACTTTTATTATGGGCTGAAGTGTAATAAAAATCTGTCATATGCAATACATTTTGACAACTCCCACCTTCTCTCACTCTTTCTCTCTGTGCACGTCCCTCCCAGGAGGTAGATTTGATCAGAGAACAGGTGCAGCAGCTCATCTCTCTGCCTATGTGGATGTGCCTCTTACCAGTAAGATGTCAACCTATTACCCTAATTAAGTTTTTCTGGTGGTTATTGGTTCACACAAAGTAATTACTTTGTTTGATAACTTCATTGGAAAGAATTACTTCCTTGCTATAACACTAATTCGTAGATAAAATAGACAATACTGATTTGTTTCTGTCATGTTTGCAGTCAAGACTTCAACACGAGCTGAAAAAAGTTCCAAAGCTGCAGAAGTTCTGGAATCTAATAAAGAAGAAATTCGATAAGATGGATGCTGACGCAGCTGAGCAGTAATTTTCTTTTCTTTTCTAGAGTGTTCAGATTTATACAGACTAGAAAATGATTTGTTGCACCCTATGGGTTTTGAAACTTCTTCTGACTTTCTTTTTTGTGTCTTCCTCAGGGCCAAAAAAGAGAGGACCTTCCTCTCAGCTCTGATTAAAAAATTTCTTGGAGTTCTCATGTCAATTCCGCCCTCAGGTAAACAGGAAAAAATACTTTTATTTCCTTTGGGATCTCATAGTGTTATTGTGCACAACTATTTAACATGGAATTCCTTCAGCAAGAAGAATGGCCATTGGATTTTTCTGTCTTTTAATAAAAAAATGTGCATCCCCGGCTTTGAATTGCACCTTCAAATACTGACTAAAATTAATGATCCTGGGTGATTCTTCCTGTGACTTTCGTCTCAAAACAGGTTTTTGCATGTGCCCTTGTGACCTTTCCCAGCATGATTAATGTACTCAGGCTTTTCTAGAGCTTTTACAGTGTCAGAGAGCACGTCTCTTATAACCAGGGCCGTATGAAACACAATATTTTCATCAGTATCTCAGTTCTACCACTCCTTTCTTTCTTTCTGAGTCGTGCAGCTGCTGAAGGAGCACGTGCTCCAGCTGCCATGGAGCCACTGGCACTGACTATTATGTTGTAATGCAGGCCGACACAGAGGCCCCCCACCTGAATGCTAAAAACAGACCATGTGTATTTGTGTGTTTAGGTAGAATTCAAACCTGACAGGGTAGATTATACTCTAAAGACCAGCAGGAGACACATCACTCTAATACTTGCCGCATGCCTCAACTTTAAGTGCACACACACAAGCAAGCACACCAACATGCTTAATGAGGAATGAGGTCCCAGCATGCTGCTGTGCTGGCAAAGCAGTATCTCTTAGTGAGGCTCACACACTCAGCATGGCACCTTGGTGTTGTCCACATGCGTTTGCTGTCCTCATGTCCTTGGTGATAACTACACAACCTCCTTTCCACTGTTACATCTCAGCGCTCCCCATCTTGTTTCGGCCTTGTATGTTCATATAGTCATGTCTGCTTGTCTGTCAGATTGCATTTGTCATTGAGAACATGCATTCTCCTGATCTAAAGTGAAACGCTAACCTCTATGATCTTCCTTTCTTTTCCACAGAGACTGTATCCATGGACAAAGTACATTATTGTGAGAGATTCATTGAACTCATGATTGATTTGGAGGTAAGACACAGCCTCTCATTTCATGACCTCATTCAGTAAATATGAAGTTGTTCTATTTGAACATTCTCATGATAAAAATCATTACAGTGAAATATGATTCACTCAGTCTTGACAGAGTCCAGAAACTAATTTTCACACTGTATTTACACTACAAGAGTATAGGTCTACAGTATATTTGCTTAATCATGGTACCCTGATGAAGGAAGTGGTGTAGTGGTGTTCTG